AACCACAGTCAAAGTCCTTTAAATTTCCACTGCAGTACACGGGCATAGTTCTTTTATTCAGTTAATAGGCTGTTCGCTCAGGGAGGATGAAGTGTTATTTCATGATTTGGTGTATTCAATAGTGTCAGAATTCTCTAGCCCAGGATCCTTATTCTAAATATATTTCTCTTCTTGAGAAATCAGTTAGTGAGCAGTTTCCACAAGAGACTTGGGTAGGATAACAGCAGTTGCTTCTAGGCTTTGCATTTAACCTTATACCATAAAACCTTATGGAAAAATATCCCAGGTAAGTTCTTCATCCATTATTTTTTCAAATTTTCTTTCCCCTGATTTCACACTTGGTTGTCTCAGGGGGTAAGAGGATAGGCCAAGGTTGGCTTTAGCCTCTGACAGTGAGCTGGAGGGTGAACAACCCCTCGGTAAATGAGCAGAGAGAAAGAAAATAAGTAAAGCATGGGACATTTTGCAATGTAGTGGAATTAAATGCCTATCCACTGTTGCTCTGACAGCATACTTCTTATGGAAAGCTGGCAAGCACAGTGTTATGGAGCTGGACATCCCCACAGGCTGAGTTCACAAAGAGCACTGGTCAGAAGACCCACTACCAGCAGCTGCCCACAGCTGATCGAACATTCAAGGCAACAACTCATTGCAGGTGAATAGCAAAAGATGGAATTAAAACTCCCTGGCAATGCCTGCTTGAAGGGATGCAGGAGATGAGTTACTTGTTGCACACTGAAGAGGGTTCCTGGATAAAGTGGAGTAATTTAGGTGGAAATATCAGAGAGACGGGTAGAGACACATATCTGATAGTTTCTTCCACTTTATTTAGCACAGTGCTCTTTCTCAGTGGGTCTGTCTTCAGTCTATTGCAGACTTGCACTGTTTCCTATCACACTGTACCTTTAAAAGGATGTACATGCTGGGGCTCACTCGAGCACATACAGAGTTTTTAAGGATGCTCTTCCTCCCCCTCTTCTGACTGGCAGTCTGGCAAAATGCACAGAAGACAGGGCCAGTGGGTGGAGTTATTGGTTGGGTTTTTGGTTGTGTTTTTTTTTTCTTTCCTCAAAAGGCTATGTCCTTAATAGTTGAAGCTCTATTATAAGAAAGAACTGCACAGTCATTGTACTCTTCTGTGTTGGATGTTGTTTGCTGAGTATGGCAGTTGTTACTGATCTGTCTGGGAGCAGAAACATGTTGTAGACCTGTTAAACAGAAATTGTTTATCCACAGAAACAGAGCCAGAGCCCATAAAAACCTTTCCTTTACTATTCAAGGAGTTGTTAACCAGATTTCCACACGTTCAAACAAAACAGTATTATTCTTTGCCTGGGCCCTGTGCAAAGGGCCAAAACATTAACTTTTGGGCTATTTTTACCATTCTTTGGGAAAAGGAGGGAGTAACATGTAGTGTTGACATAACAATTATAAAATAGAGTCTGATCCAAACTGTTTCCCATTCATTTCTGGAGACTTTTTATAGAAGTTTCTACTCCTGGCATGAACCTTTTCAAACAGAGAAACCCCAGTACATATGTGTGCACACTGCTTCTCTGCCAGGTGTGTTTTTGGCAGCTGGATACACAAAGCTTGCTCACTGGTGGCCAGCACAAAAGCCTTTAGGATGTGCACGAGTTCATGGGTAACATGAAGGCAGGGGGCTGGCAACTGTATGCAAGACACCTCCTCCCCACCACTTCAGTGCACACATACAGCCTGATTTCAGGTGCTGCATCTTAAATTGTGTTTGTAAATGCCAAGGAAGGAGTAGGATGTTTAGCTCCTGCTTCCTGACAGTTCATTTCTCACTCAGAAAATTGCTGTGGATGAAAAAAACCAAGCAACTTACTGCAGAGAACTCCCCTTGCCTTCAGCTGAAGTCCTATTTGCATGTGTGTCGAACGGTGTGAGGAAAACGCTCTCCAAGGTTTCCTGCTGTGAGCAGTAGACTCAGCATCTCAACTGGCCTCTGCATTTTGATGACTCTGTTACAGGAAGCTTTTTCTCCTGACAGACTTTGAGCACACATAAAGCTCAGTCTCAGGTTCCTGCATCAGCCCAGAATTAAACTGGGAGAGGTAGGTGACCAAGCAAGTCTGTGTGTTTAAAGGAAAAGTATTATTTAGAAGCTCTCAGAAAAACATGAAAGGAAACAGAATATAAATAGGCTTCTGAAATTTCTGTGCAGATTGAATGATGAGTCTCTGTAGCCAAGAGTAAAAAGTACCTTTCCCTCCCAAGAACTTCTACTTAGATATGGCAATGGCATTATCAACAAGCTAATTGTGCAATTACTGAATGCCACCCTGAGTGTGCCTGCTTGGGTGGGAAGTATTATATCTCACATTTCTACTTTTTCTTCAAATACTTCTCTCTGCAGAAAATCCTGTTATGAATCTGTCTGCCTGTTAGCTTTTGCTCTCCTTAAGCTAAGCTGAAGAAGGAAAAATACGTGCTGCTATGGCAAACAACAGACAGGGGGAAAAAAAATCAAAGGAGACGAATGAGGTTCCATCACAGTAGGAAATTTAAGAAAAGGTTAGAGATGAGAATATTGGGCATGGTGTTAGACTGAAGTAATCTTGTAAACTTCAGGGAGCCAGGCCAGATACTCCAACTTGTCCTGTCTGGCTCTGCTGTCTTCCAATTACTATCTACCATCAGGCTACACAGAAAATTTCTGCTGATAGTGATGGAAGCTCTAGCTGGATTTCCAAAAAGGAGTACAACCAAGTGATTCTTTAAAACACCCCTTAAAATGTTTTATTCCTTAAGCACATCATCATTTTGGATCTCAGTCTTGACCTCAAGCTTGTGCTTATGTTAAACTTTAAAATTATCCTCAGGCTGCTTTGGATTGTTTTCCTGACATATAAGCCTAAATCTTAGTGAGTTTGATATGATGTAATGCTAGGGGAAGTAGCTTAGAAATCACTTAAATAAGATTTGGAGGAGTAGGGGTTTTGTTTTTTTTTTGGTGACTGTAAATTAGAAATAAAAAAAAAATATGACATACTAAAACCCTAATAATAAAATTGCATTGCATAACTAATTTTCCTTCTCAGATAAGTTCTACAATACCATAAACATATGTCATTGGCAATAGCCACTTATAATAGAAATAACCAAAATTATTTACTTATAGTGCAATTTCAGTTCTCAAATACATACCCATATCATGGTTTACTTGGTTAAAATATGACATTTTATTATGCTCCCTGTTTGATGTTTGATTCAGTCTCTTAAGTAGTTGTTTGAATGGTGGTGGGAAGTAGTGACCTCTTTGAAACTGTCAGTATGTTCTTTCACCTACTAAATAAGCAAGGAATGAGTTTAAGATACCACTTAAGGTACCTGGATAAAAAATTAGGCATCTTGATCTTTACACCTGCATTTCTGTGCCTGTTGTTAAAACAGAGCTATAAGCCAGGTATCTTCCTAAATGAGTTTTATTCTAGACCTTTGCTCTCTAATTAATTGGTTTATTTAAATACAGTTTTAAAAATTCAGCTTAAACTATATGCAAATCCTTCTAAACTGGGCCCTTTATATACACACATTCCCTTTTATGTGAACAGTACTTTGTTAATGGCTCAATAATTAAGGGAGTTTACATTCTAAAGACTTCAGTTTTTAATTGGCTGAATATTATTCACAGATCACTTTCAGTTCTGTTGTGATATGCAAATTATTGATGCCTCAGCTGCATTTGTTTTCAGGTATCAGTCTAACCACATAATGCAAAATAACATTCTGCAATTATTTCAATTAGATGCAGTCAGCCTTTGGAGAAAGCTATTTGTTTCATTTCAGTAAATGAAGAAAGCAGTTGCTGTTTTCCATTCCCTGGTGTTTACTGCCCAGAACTAGGACTCACAACTGGTGTGTGTACAGCACATAAACAGTTTTCTAGCTGGATCACGTTAGAATTCATGGTAAAGGGCAAGCAATTGAACTCGCCTTGCAAGATTTCATTTGGCTAACTGACTCTTCTGCTTTGGAATGAGATGTCACCTTGTTTGGGGGTATTCGTTACCATTTTAAAGTGTATTATGAAAGGTAGAGTCAATAAGAGTTCCTAATTAGCAGAATCTGCTTAGCACAAGTGCATAACATTAGAGGATTTTTTCCATCAGACTGCAGCTGTTACCTAGGCAGAGAGGAGGAATTCCACCTAACCACAAAGAATAAGATAGACAAATAGCTGCGCTATCTTAAGAACGGGTCGGGTATGTCTCCTCGCAGCGATTTCGCTCCATAATTGCAATCCACATTAAATGCAGCAAATGTTACCATCCTGCCCACTCAGTTTCCACCTCTACTTTTGTTTCAAGCGGGGAGGGAGATAGAAAAGAGAAGGGGGAGAGGAGGGGGGGGGGAGAGTCCTTTCTTTCTTTTCTTCTCTTCTCTCCTTCCCCACTCCGCTCTCCCATCCGCGGTACCCAGCGGCTCCAGGCGAGGGGCCCGCGATGCCCCGTCCCGGCCGCGCCTCGGGCTGCACTTGTAGCTGCCGCGGCCGCCCATGGCAGCCCCGCGGCCCCGCCGGCCCGGGGGGCTCCTCCCGGCCCGCCGACCCCGCCTGAGCCCCGCGGGGGCGCAGCCCGGCGCCTCCCCGGCAGCGGCACCGGCGGCGCGGCGCCTCCGGCCGTGCGGGAGAGGCGGCGGCGGCGGCGATGCGCCGGGATTGCTCCCCCGGAGCGGCGTCTCCCTGCCCGCCGAAGCAGCGCTCGGGCGCTCGGTGCGTTGCGTGTGTGTGTGTTGTGTGTGTGTGTGCGAGTGTGTGCGAGTGTGCGGGTGTGCGTGTGGCGAAGGGGAGGGGGCTCTCTGCGTGCAGGGGGTGGGCGAGAGCAGTGCGATGGGAGCGGGCGCCCGTGTGCAGAGGGATCCTCTCCCCGCATGTGTGCGGGGGACCGCGGTGCCGGGGCAGGGCTCAGCCAGGCGCCTGCTGCTGCTGCTGCTGCTGCTGCTGCATGCGGCGGAGCCCGCGGGGTTACCGCAGCGCCGGGCATCCCCTCGCCCCGCGCGGCCGGGGGTGCTCGCCCCGGCGGCCGCCCCTCTGCCCCCGCGGAGCCGCCGGAGCCGAGAGCGAGCGGGGAGAGCGGCGGAGCTCAGCCGAGCGCGGCCGCGGCCACCCCGGGCGCCGAGGTAGGGACGGTGCCGGGCTGTCCGCCGGGAGCATCGCCGGGGGCGGCGGGCGCCCCGCCGGGCGTGTGAGTGCGGGCGGGGGTGGGGGCACGGCGGGGCCGCGTGTGCGTTGGCGTTTTGATTTCTTCTAATTATTACCAAGGCTTTGTTTTCATTGCTGTAATAATTACTGATGGTGTTTTAAAGGGGAGTGGGGGGTGGGGGGGGGAGTTGTCACACGAGGAGGCGACAGTGGCTTCCTGCCGGAGCCTCTCTGCCATCGCGCTCGCCGCTCTCCGCAGCCGCCCAGAGCCCCGGCCAGCGGCACCAGGCGCAGCTCTGCCCTTTCCCATCTTTCCCGGGCGAGCGGAGGGACCGGGGTCGGGGCGGCCCGGAGGAGCCGGTGGCGGTGTGGGAGGGACGGGGGGAGCAGGATCTGCGCAGTGGGGCTGGAGAAGGGGGTGTGTGGATGCGCTGCGGGCTGGACTTCGCGAAGGTATCGGGGCGGCGGGCTTGGGAGGAGGTTGGAGCGTTTGGCGGCGGGGACCACGGTCGTGCCCTGTAGCGAAGGGAGGGTGGAAGGGATGCGGGACTGCACCGCCGCGCTGTGCCCGCTCCCGGCTGGCATGTGCGCTCCTGTGTGCGCGCCCTGTCCCTCCTGCCCTCCCCCGCCGGGAGGCAGAGGGCGACGGGGCGCCCACGGCAGAGGGGACCCGGCACCAGCCGAGCCGGTTGCGGCAAAAAATTGCGGTATTACCGGCACTGCTGGCCGGGCTCGCCGCCCCGCGCAGCGCCCGCAGTGTGCCCGCTCGGCACCGGCCGGGGCCCCGCGGCTGAAGAAGAAGACGGGACTCGAGCGTGGGCGAGGCAGGGATACGGGAGGACGGCGCCCGGCAATGGGAGGGAGATGGAGCGGTGGGGCTGCGGGGCCATCGGGCTGCCCCTGGGGGCGCGCTCCCCGCGGCCAGGGTCGGGAGCCTGCGGGGATGAGCAGCGGCTGCTGCGCTCCCCCTTCTCCCTATGCTCCCCCTTCTCCCCGTGCTCCCGCTCCTCGGCCTCTTTGACCCCTTCAGTCATCCCTTCCTCTTATCCTTCCTTGCCTCCTCGGAGCTTTCCTTCTCCCTCTTGTCCTTCTGTCCTGCGTTGTTTCCTCATCCCTCCTCTGCCCTCCCTTCCAGGTCCCCCGGTACATCCTCCCCTTGTGTCTCCCTCCGGTCCGGTTCTCCTCCCTCCAGCTGGCTCCTGCTTGCTTCACTTTCATCCTGCCTCTCTCCTGCCAACTCAGTGGCTTCCCACAGCAGGAAATGCAAGGGACTTTTTGGGAAATGGGGGTAATGGGAAGATGGGGGCACTGCAACATATTGATTATTGACTGATTAGTTAAAAAAAAAAAGCTACCTTCTAACTCAGAGGAAATGCTGTGGCTCCAGTTGTTCTGCATAAAAAATGGCAGCTCTGTTGGCCTGACTATATGCAAAGGGTTCTTATCAATGCAAGAATAGGAGAAAATTACATAATGTTTTAGAAAAAAGTAGTTCTCAGGTTTCAGTAGTGTCAGGCTGGTGAATTGTGACTTTGTTGTGCCCTGCAAGTCAGCGTATTATCATTCCTGGGGATGGGGCTGTGTGCTTGTGCATGCTTCTTCGTGTCTGTGTGCTTCCATTGGTCACCCAGAGATGATGTTCTTGTTTTGTGGATAGTTGTATTTCTGCAATCAGTTTACCATCTATTTATTTAAACTAGGTATGAGAAGTGACAGAAACAATGTGTGTGCATGTCTGTGTATCACTTGAGTGAATATCTTTATTATCATAGTGTATGTGTTGATGCTATAAATACATACATTGAGTACTGACATTGCTTTTGTGCCTGCACCTTTATCCTTTCTGTATTTTGCTATCCCAGCCCAGGTGTTTGGGCATGCATAACATTGGCATTTGTGTTTAATATCCCTGAAATGCACGGCAACATATGAGCAGTGCAGGATTGAAGAGAGTAAATATGCATAAAATTGGAATCTCCTTTGGTTGTTTTACTTTGTTAGTTATGCATGCTTGGCGTGTACAAGAGAGAGAAATGTATTTGACAGACCTGAGAGTTATTTGTGTTTGTCTACAGAAATTTACATTCTGTGTTTGAAATCATCCTAGCTCCCGTGTATTTGTTTGGTTGTTAAAATCTTTCATGTTATTTTAAATTCAGTGCTTGTAGTTTATCTATAATCCTTGGCAGGTACAGTAGCTCAGTGGTATACAATTTTTAGCCCAAATGATGTTTTGGAACAATGTCAACTGAAAAATGTTTTCTTTTTTTTCTTTCCTTCTTTCTTCTTTAGATTCTTTATCTTTGTTCAGGAGCCTAAGGTTGCTTGCTGATCACAAGAAGATGTTTCTGTGGCTCTTTCTGGTTCTGTCATCTCCAGTTTCTTCTACAACTGCAGATGCTGATATATCTGTGGAAATTTGCAATGTTTGCTCCTGTGTGTCAGTTGAGAATGTACTCTATGTCAACTGTGAGAAGGTTGCAGTCTACAGACCAAATCAGCTTAAACCACCATGGTCTAATTTTTACCACCTCAACTTCCAAAACAACCTGCTAATTGTTCTATATCCAAATTCCTTTCCTAATTTTACACATGCAGTGTCCTTGCAACTGGGTAATAACAAGTTGCAGAACATTGAGGGAGGGGCCTTTATGGGTCTTAGTTCATTAAAACAGTTGCACTTAAACAACAACGAATTAAAGATTCTCCGGGCTGACACTTTCCTTGGCATAGAGAACTTGGAGTATCTCCAAGCTGACTACAATTTAATCAAGTTTATTGAACGGGGAGCCTTCAATAAGCTTCACAAGCTGAAAGTCCTGATACTTAACGACAATCTGATTTCATTCCTTCCCGATAATATTTTTCGATTTGCTTCTCTAACCCACCTGGATATACGGGGGAATCGAATACAGAAGCTTCCATACATTGGAGTTCTGGAACACATCGGGCGAATCGTCGAACTGCAGCTGGAAGACAACCCCTGGAATTGTACTTGTGATTTGTTGCCTTTGAAGGCGTGGCTGGAGAACATGCCCTATAACATCTACATTGGAGAGGCGATCTGTGAGACACCCAGTGACTTGTACGGAAGGCTGCTGAAAGAAACCAATAAGCAAGAGCTGTGCTCCATGGGGACGGGGAGTGATTTTGACGTGCGCATCCTGCCTCCCTCGCAGCTGGAGCCCGGGTACAGCACACCAAACGGCCACACCACTCAAACATCAGTGCACAGATTAGTCACAAAGCCGCCCAAGACTACAAATCCTTCGAAGATCTCGGGGATAGTAGCAGGCAAAGCGTTCTCTAATCGCAACCTCAGTCAAATCGTATTTTACCAGACCAGGGTGCCTCCTTTAACTCCTTGCCCGGTCCCTTGTGTTTGCAAAACTCATCCTTCAGACTTGGGATTAAGTGTGAATTGCCAAGAAAGAAATATAGAATCCATGGCTGAACTCGTACCAAAACCTTTAAATGCCAAGAAACTGCATGTAAACGGCAATTATATTAAGGATGTGGATACTACAGATTTCACTGAGTTTGAGGGGCTGGATTTGCTACATTTAGGCAGCAATCGGATTTCAGTGATCAAAGGAGACGTTTTCCGCAACCTTACAAATTTACGGAGATTGTATCTCAATGGCAATCAGATAGAGCGTCTGAGCCCAGAAATGTTTGCTGGCCTCCACAACTTGCAGTATCTGTATTTGGAATACAATGTTATCAAAGAGATCCTAGCAGGCACCTTTGACTTAATGCCCAATTTGCAGTTGCTCTACCTGAACAACAATCTCCTCCGAAGCTTGCCAGCGTACATTTTTGCTGGTGCACCACTTGCTAGACTGAATCTGAGGAACAATCACTTCATGTATTTACCTGTAAGTGGTGTTCTTGATCAGCTAAAATCTCTTACACAAATAGATTTGGAAGGTAATCCATGGGACTGCACTTGTGATTTAGTTGCTTTAAAGCTGTGGCTTGAAAAGCTAAACGAAGATATTGTGGTGAAGGAGTTGAAATGTGAAACGCCTGTACAGTTTGCTAACATAGAACTGAAGTCTCTGAAAAATGAGATCCTCTGTCCTAAACTTTTAAACAAGCCATCTGCTCTGTTCACTAGCCCTATGCCTGCTGTTACTTTTACAACACCACCGGGACCGGTTCGGAGTCCTCCTGGTGGCCCAGTTCCATTATCCATCCTCATCTTAAGCATATTAGTTGTGCTGATTTTAACGGTGTTCGTTGCTTTTTGCCTCCTCGTTTTTGTGCTTCGGCGCAACAAAAAGCCAGCTGTAAAGCACGAAGGGATTGGGAACCAGGAGTGCAGTTCTATGCAGCTGCAGCTGAGAAAGCACGACCACAAGGCAAACAAAAAAGATGGACTGGGTGCAGAGGCCTTCATTCCTCAAACCATTGAGCAGATGAGCAAAAGTCACACCTGTGGCTTAAAGGAGTCTGAAACGGGCTTCACGTTTGCTGACCCACCAGGGCAAAAAGTCATTCTGAGAAATATTAATGACAAGGAGAAAGATTTGTTGCATGTGGATACCAGAAAAAGACTTAGCACAATTGATGAACTGGATGAGTTATTCCCTGGGAGGGATTCCAATGTATTTATTCAGAATTTTCTTGAAAGTAAAAAAGAATACAACAGCATAGGGGTGAGTGGCTTTGAAATACGTTACCCAGAGAAACTACAAGACAAAAAAACCAAGAAATCGTTAATAGGTGGTAATCATAGTAAAATTGTAGTAGAACAAAGAAAAAGTGAATATTTTGAACTAAAAGCTAAACTTCAAGGTTCACCTGACTACCTACAAGTCCTTGAAGAACAAACAGCTTTGAATAAAATATAGGTCATACAATCTTATTGCCTACAGAGGACATTTATTTAATGATGAAAGTGCCTTTTGTTGACTTTTAACTTCCAAATACTATATTATATTGGTAGGCATAGAGGCAGGTGTATCCAGGGGTGTCTGATTAACTGTAGCTGCGTATGATTTGTCGAGTAGAGGAGAATTTCCTTAATAGATTTTACTACATAAAGCTCATGCCCAGTGGAATCCTGTAGGGATACTGCAAACTCTATTGCCAAAGGGATGCTTTATACACGTTACACTGAATTTAACCTCAAGAGGCATATATGTTTTGTATCTTAAATGCAAACCATCGTCTCCTTGTGATTTGTTAGAACAAACACAAGAAACCTGGTACTGATATTTGTACCTCAGCTGGGTCCTTCATCCTGCACGTGGATTTAAGTTGGTGGAACTGGAGTAATCCTTTGATTTGTGGTGTTGTAATGGCACTGTTTAAAGCTTATCTGGAAAGTAACAAGCATGCAAAGAGAGAACATTCAATAGTATGTGTAAATTGGTTACATTTACGGGCTGCATCTTGAAACCACTGGAATTATAATGTTAAATTGTGCAAATATTTGTTTAAAATATACCATGCATTACATACCTATGGAATAAATTTGACCACTTGAAGCATACACGTCTATACAGAAAATTTAAAAAAAAAAAAAAAAGAAAGAAAATAGTTTAACCTGACTTCTGCAGTATTTGTGACATCTGAAGAAAAGATTTGATATTTATGCAGAATCTGTTCTAAGACTCATCTCCAACTAAACCTAGAGTTCCTTCTCAGTTATGTGAAACTCTTGCAACCCAACAGGTTGTCCAAAATTGTCAAAGTGCTTACTGTGTGAGCGTAGCAGAAATTATTTTTGTAATATAATTCATATTTATGAAATACTTTGTATACTAAATAGGAAAGAATATGTACTCCTTAATATGTATTTAATATGCCTGACTTGTTTTCCTGATCACACTGCATTAATCATTCAGTATAAATAAAACCAGAACAATATACCAAACAGCAACCGGGGATGTAATGTATAGCATTATCCAGAATTAAGTGATCAGATATAATAATGATAATAAAAAGAATTGTTCTGTACTATTCTTGTGAGATTAGCATATTATCTTATTTCAGATTTGTTACCAATGGTGCATTTTAAAATAGATTCATTAGTTTTTTTTAGTGTTGTGTCTCAGGCAATTATTTGCCATCAGTTTTCTTGATTTTTCAGGTCTCTACAGCTTGATATAAATAGTTTTCACTACAAGCATTTACAGGAATTCATGCTGAGGGTAACATTTTAATTGGATATGCAGAAGTTTTCTGTTCTTATTATCTCTCTGGCTGCTGTTAGTCAGCAAAACCTGATCAGAACAGTGAACAATATGGCAAATAATGTCTATTTAAAACCACAGTGTAAAATGAATATAGTGGTCTCAGTTCAGAGTATTGTGTAGCTCATACCTGGAGAGTAAAAACTTGCCTTTGTGAAAACTGAATCTGAATAGCTAGGAAAAAAAAAAGTAGGAGAATGGAAAATCCCCACTGTATCTCACTGATAGATGGTACCTTGACACGAGAATGGAGATATATTGGTAAAGCATCCCACAAAAAAATCTATGTGATGAGATTAACAAGAGCTCTTTGTCTTCATGAGCTTTGAATAAGACCCTCTTCCCTCCTTTGCTTCTAGAACCATTATCCCTCCCTACCTTTTAAAATCAGTAAGTCAGTCAGTTAAGATAGCAGGATATAAACATGAATGTTTTTCATGAATTTGAAACTAGCAAAAATTAGAGCGAGACCCAATAATAATACTGTTGAGAAGGCTGTGTCAGCTATTTCCAATATAAAACCTCTAATTTCAGGGCTTTATTACAGTGATTTGAAATTTTTATTCTGGAATGATACTTGGCAACCAGCCTGCAGTATATTTTTAACAAAATATACAAAAAAATAAAAATAAAAAAGCAAGCACTGCTTCTTTATTTAAGAGAAAGCAAACAAAACATTTCTCTACTTTTAGTAATTTTTTTATGCTCTTGTGGCTTAGAAAGAGGGTTGTTTTATTATTTTTCTCCATACTTCAAAGTATATACATGACTTCAGATAATAAAATTCTAACAGATAAATTAATGGCTGAGTTCCTTTCAAAAAGCTGTGGCTATCTGTGCAGAATAATGAACGTAATTCAGAATGTCATAGGGATTTTCAGGACACGGATACTATACACATATGCATTTCTAGCATGACAAGTTCCTGGTTGACCAGTGATGGCCAAGGTTGGAAAAGGAACATATATGAGTTTGTTGTCTGTGGATTAAGGAGTGTTCACGATGCACTGATGTGGCAGGCTCTGATGGCTCCATCAGCAGGCTGAGGATGAGGGGTCACTGTGCCTGCTCCGCACAGTGCTGCGTGGTTTGGAGGATGTGTCCAAGTTCACTGGGATTTGCCAAAGCAGGAGGGTTCTGACAGGCTCAGTGCATTGTCAGGCTGTCAGGGCCCTTTCCCTGCCTGAGAGAGATGTGTTAAAAATAGGAAAAGTAGCAAATAAGCCAATACTTCCAAGTGATGATAAAACTGATGTGCTTATGACTCATGTTGCCCTGAGTTCAAAGAACAGTGATAAATGATCATACCTTCCTCAGCTAAAAAATTGAGGGGTTTTGGTTTTGGCTTTTTTTTTGGGGGGAGTGGTGTTGTTCATTTGTTGGGTTTTTTTTCTTGGTTTTGAATTTTGTTTTGGTCTCTTTGTTATGGTGTCCTCTATTTGCTGATCTCTTATGCTGTACCATTACAGTGGGTCAGAGTTTCCTGACCACTGAGGTCCCAATCCGGTCAAGCATTTAAGCTCAACCTAAATCCTGTGCAGAGGAACTATTCATGAGCTAACAATGAAACACCTGCCCAAGAGTGGGGCTTAGATAAAGAGTTTTGTCATTGAACTTCAAACCAAGCCAGCTCAGAAACATTGTATATAATACATAGAGCCCAGGGATTCTTCTGGGGTTATGCAGTTGAGTGTAGGTTCACCAGCATCACTAAAGGTTGCACAATCTGGACCTTCCTGTAGAAATTGTTCCTAAGTGTTTGACAATATATGGTGCAATATGTAGGCATAATAGTGTGAGTGAAGAATGCAGAAGCCGGCAAAAAACACTGTATGTCTGTGAAATTGTTAACTTTGAATGGCAACCTCAATGTCAGTTTATTTTCTCCATGTTTTTGAAGCAGTGTATGTGTCTGCACAGCAGTTTTAGTGTAATGTCCATTCAAATCTCTGGTCAGTCTTTCTGAGAAGGTGACTCTTGGGATGTGGCTTAACAAGGTCTGTCTGTTCATTATCTTGGTTTGAGTGGCCATGCTTGTAAAATGGCTGTTAAGACCCATAGACATAAACTAAATCAGTGAAGGTGTTAACATAATCTGTCGTCTCCACTGTATTATAAAGAAGTTTCCATCTTGAAATAAAACCAATAAAGTGTAATCGTTTTCCTTGGAACAAAAAGAAAAAAATTGTGCAATTTTATCAAAAAGCAAATACCACGGTGCAAGAACACAAGACCAGGTGATTTTATGTTTTGCATTTAGTGTTCAAGATTAAAAATAATGCAGCAATCTAGTATAAAAATCCTCTTTAAATGCTTTTTTTTTTTTTTTAAAGCCATAAATTATAAAGGCATGGCCTTGTGAGTAATGTTAACAAATGTTTCAGAATCAAGAAAAAACATCCAGAACTTGATGGTGGTATAATATCTATAATATCTTTTGCATGATTTGTATGTTGATATTGTATGAAATGAGCACAGTGAGACTTTTTTTTTTTTGGTTGCATCCAAAGAGATAGGAAGGAAATATAACAAGAATGTATTTATAATCACTCTATTTTGAAATAAAGTAAAGAAAACAAAATGTATTGGCTTTACCCTGTTTTGATCATTACTATTATAGTTTAAGATAGTTACTTATGACATCCAGCCCAATGTAAAACACAGAAAGCTGTTGTTTATTAATTTTGTTTGCCTTCATCAACATCAAAATACTAGCCAGTGTTGACTTCAAAATTTGTATGAAATATTAATAAAATTGTTTGGTACTATTGTATTTCTGAAACTAGAGTTTGTCAAGTGCCTGTAATCTCTTTTGGATCATTTGTGTATGGATGACAGAGAATCTATAAAGCAGCTAAACAGTAATATTTTCTAATCACTTCAACAATTTGTTATCATATTTTAAGAAAGTTTTTCCATCTTCTGTTGTCCAGCAAAATCTTCCTTTCCCATTGTGCAAATAATCCCTCCAAAGTCAGTGAAATTTTTTTGCATGAGTTACACAAGCAGAATTTAGTTTTGGTTGGATTCTGAGTTCTCAACACAGAATTGCTTATAGGATCACTTACATAATGCTGGGGGTATTTGTTTTGATTCTGCTCCTTTCTTATTTATCATTTCCAATTACACAGTTTCTCAGAGGAAAGAAAATTTAGTTTGTCCTTAGGAAAAACAAAAACATCAATCCATCTACTATTTCATAGTATATATAGTTTTATAACTGAAAGTTGAAAAGCTGTCTGTAGATAGTTTAACTTCCAACTTTATATTTTGTAGTAAAAATGGTTTACAAAGCCTCACAAAAATCTCCATGGCAAGGGAGAAGAGCAGGAACAGAACTCTATTATATCTAGATCAAACATTCCCTGTTGTGTAGGATTTAACGTGCATTATAATAGCAGTGAATGAGAATCAGAATGTGATATGGACTAGAAAATTGGGACTTGATATGGATTTTTTTCGCTTCCAGTTGAAGTGTAACATTAGGAGCAAACCCACAGCATTAGCTGGAAAAAGGCCTACATATATATTCCATATAATTTCTTTCTAAAGAAAATCTTGAGAACCAAGAATTAAGTAGTCATGTTTTGATAATGTGTGCACTGCTTTTCTGAATGGAGAGGAATTTGACAGTTTTCTTTTAATTTGTTTTGTCATTATTGAGTCTTTATTTCCAATTTCAGTTTACTCATCCTTATGTGTTCTGGTTGATGCTCTGTTGGAAAGTAAAAATAGGAATGTTAGTGCTCAGGGACAAACTCTTCTCAGAAATTTACCATTGTAAATCCGGACTGACTGAGCAGACTTTGGAATCAAGTCAGCCTTTTCCTAGTAAAGAAAAAAAAGCAGAAAATATTAGATGAGGAGCTGCCTATCCATCACTGAACTAAAAATAAATAATTTTTTACTTGAAATGTAATGTTTCTTTATGCTCTATTGATTTGTGTTGTAAAGCTGTTGTTACTATTTTCAAATTGCTATAGGGAGAATACAGACTAAGGGCAGTCCTGGGTCAGTTTGAAATGAGTGGAACTCTACAATGATTCAAGAACTGTGGGCATCCTGGAGATGTACTATGGGTACGAAACTATTTCAGTTTGCTGGTTTAATGCATAGACTTGGGGTAGATCTCACATAAAATACAAATGCTTTCTTAACACTACAATTTATTTTCTTCCTATAATGGAACAAAGTTACCCTGCTCTTCTTTCTCATTAAGTAAGGAGTTTATTGCACATATATTTGGTTTACTGTTAATTTTATTTGTGTTCACTGGTAATACTTGAGATAATTCATTTGTTGTCTGAAAACAGTACACTTTGAGCAGTCTGTTATTTTTAAAATACCAGTCATTGGTAACAGACTGATACTGAATTATATTGATTTTTCATTCCCTTGTCAGGAATTTTTATAGCCATTTAACACAAAATAATTCCTTAAAAGCACAAATAAAGATTAGATAAGAAAAAAAGACCTAGTTGCTACTAAATCTGAATTTTTTTATGTGTGTGTATGTGAAGGCTTAACATTCTGTAAAATAACTGTGATGGGTTACCAGTGTTACATCATTATCTATTAGGTCTTTGTTTAACCAGAAAACAGAAGGTGATCTCTATATGGTTTAGTGGTCATTTTGTAAACATACAGTAACAGAGAATATTCCTCAGTTTCCCCCATCCACCAGCATTTCATTTCTTGGTTTAATTCAATGTAATTCCCTGGAAATGTGTGTGCTGTGACCTTCCAAGACACCCTTCTACTTCATGCTCTCACTTCACCTTCCGTGAACCAGACCTTTCCAGCTGGATGTTTGTCTAGACTTCAGTTAACAGCAGTTTCCAAGGAGGCAGAGGAGGAGGATTTGTGGATTTCTAAAACCCAGCTAAAAAAAGGCAAACTGTCAGAGACCGTCCTGGATGATTCCTGAGTCATGTCAGGTGGTGTGTGATACAAACCAGAGAAGTGTAGGAAATGGTTTAAGCTTCTGTTGTGAAGACTCGGGCTGGGCTTTTGCAGCTGGACAATCCCAGCTTTCCATGACTGTAAGTTGTACAGTGTAACATAAATGTGATTCAGTCAATTGGGTCCTTTGGGCTAAATCCTGCAGGCACCTGCACCCACTTAACCCAAGCCAGGTTTTGGTGTCACTACTCACTCAAAAGTCTTGGGCAAATTATTTAGGTTAAAGCACATGTGATATGTATTTCTTAATGAGCCTGAGAGGTGGATGCATATTGGGTGCTGTTTGGGTGTGGAGGTCAGTCTGCACCCAATGTTTGTTGAGGAATTGCTTTGGTAGAGACTCTCTTCGCGTGGCACATTAGTGGTGATATCTGAATATGAGGCACTGTATGGTAAGTACATCTCAATGAGCAGAGTCACAAAGGGCAGCGTGTTTTGACAGATTTTGAGCTCTTCACTGCAAGGAACTGCAGGAAATGATGTACCATACAGCAGATTTTCTTGCTCTCTGGCAGGATTTCATAGACCCTCTGAGTCCTTCTCAGCAGGGTATTCTTCTTGTCTATACACTGCAAATAAGACTCCAGGTCACCAGTCTTGTGTATGTGCAGTCTGTGTTTGCTTATACCCAAGAATAGTTGTGTGGATATGGGTAGGAAAAGGGCAGGAGAATAATTTTTTTTTTTTTTTCATTTGTAAAGCATAATGGGCTGAATGTATTTTTTCCAGATTGAAAAAGAAAAATACAGATATTTTAAAGAATGGTCACATTGTTCATTAATGTCTGTATTTTACTAAGAGAGAGAGAAATAAAGCAGTTGGGTTTATATTTTTAGCATGCAGCTTTTCAACTTCTTCTATTCTTGGGTTAGAATATGCCCCTGGGTGCCAAGGGACTTACATGTGCAGCTCAGGGCACAATTTAGTTGCAAAGATTCATCCTAAATATCTTGCTGCCTTTTGTGTGGTAGAAATTAAATGGAAGGCTCTGAATGTTCCCTGTCTGTTTGCTTTCATGGAAGTTAGATCAGTAGGCATTCTTCAAGCTCCTGTTGAGTTGTGTCTGCAATTTGGTGAAGTTGGCAACAAGAGTGCAAATGTCATACAAGGGGTGATTTCTTTGGATGGGGTCAACACTTTGAAATAATTGGGGTTCATAGAGTTTAATTCTTAAATGTCACCATTGGTTGCACTGTTTTATACTTATGAAGATCTTTACTTCTGGGATCAGTTCAATAAATCAGTGGTTTTACAAATGTGATTGGGAGATTGGGTCCAAAAAACTTTGCTTTTAATTCTCATGGGTTTCCAAGTTGTAAATAAAGAACAACAACATCTTGAATAACCTAGATTTAAGATTTCTTTTTTGTTCAATGAAAGTGACTTTTGCCTTAACTAAGCAAAATATTCAGGAAGTCCTTTGGGAGAATTGAGTTTCTGCCAGCAAACAAGGCCCATATTTTGTAATCCTTTCTCAAGAATATAAGATGTGGAAGCTATAAGAGGTTTTATCTTTTAAGTAGCTTCCCCTGTAATTTGGAGGTTCAGCTCAGCTGTTGGAGCTGTGCCACGAGCAAGATTTTATGATTTTGCTGCAATAGGCACATAGTAACTAGAGAAGTAATGGTCAACAAAATGAGTGTGACACATTCTCTCTGTGTAGCTTTGTCAAGTAATTTATACCACTTCAGCATAAGACAGCAAAGATAGTAAGGATTATAAATTGTAAAGTGTGTTGGTAAGCATTCCTTTACATTTGTAATGTGCCTTCAAAATGAAAGCAGTATGCAAATGATGAGTATTATCAGCATACAATCCATTTCAAAAGAGGAATACCATTGTACTGTACACAGTGCTCTATTGTTCAGATTGAGAAATATCACTTAAAGTGGATAAGCTGTGTTTTCCTTTCTGTAGACTTCTCTCCTTCAACTATTAAATAGAGCTATTTACTTGTTATGGAGAATACAGCTCTGAGCCATATGCAACAAAATACATAAGCCTAAAAATGATGAGCAAATCTAACATCCAAAAAGAACATCTGCATTAGAATAATAAAATCACTCATATTTTCCAATAACATTGGCACCTCTGGCTGTTTCTGCTCTGCTGACAAGCTGTGGGGCTGAGGTGTAGACTTGGAGTCAGTTCCTATCTCCTTTCTCCACACAAGAATTCCCTTTGACATTATACATGGGTGAGGTTCATTTGCCTACTGTCTCTCAGTGGCAGGTGAGGTTGAAGCAACCACCATGTGTTCATACCTACTATGCAGGCATTTGCCATGGGCATCATGAAAAAGATGTCCCCAGAGACAACAGAAGCAGTGACCTCTGCTAAAGTGTCTTCTCCCATACCCTCTGGAGCAACCTCTGTGGAGTGTCCCAGAACATCCATGGTTTGGGTCAAGCAACAAGGTTGTAACAGGGCTCGGTGACATCCTTGTTTTGACATTGCAGGGAAGCAAAGTATCAGGAGCAGAACAGCACAGTGGCTCTGTAATCAAGAATGTAGGACTCTCCTTGACTGTCTGCTACTTCAGTATATGGGCTAGTCCACTTTGCAACAGGAAAAGCAATCTTTACTTCTGGGTCCGGTCTAAACTCTAAAGTTTGGGATCAGGCTGGAAGAACTTGTCTGACCAAATGTCATGTCCTCCACAGTACAACTAGACCAGGTTCTCTGCCAGATTTGTGGAGATGCATTTTTTTTTCCCTGTCTGTAAATAATGTACAGTCAAACTTGCATTAACATCTTTTAATGGTTCTGGAATGTACTGCACATAATGCCTGTGCACATGCAGAATTGTCATTTCCATGAGGTATTACTGAGTGTCTCTGGCAGTAGATGAGGACAACTATTTTTTACCTCAAAGCCTATTGTGGTGGCCAGACTCAGATCATTTTGCCTAATAATTATATGCTTCTGATATAATAATTTATTTATTTTCTGAATCACAACACTCTGCTTCTTGTTAACAAAGAGAGCAGGCTTTCACTTTTTTTTTTTTTTCTTTACTCATCCTTCTCTGCAGTTGAAATTATTTAAATCCATTTCCAACCCATAAAGAACAAAGAAAAAGGAAAACTCCACTTTATGCAACACACTGAAGATGGCACTGTAGTAACAACTTCACACTGTGAATGATAAGATATGCTTGTGTTTGTTGCTGGGAAATTGTGATTTTTTTATTCATTTAGCTCAGCTAACACAAAGCTAAAGGTCAGTTTAATGCAGCACCACCCAACACTGCTACTGTAATTAAAGGTGAAGATGGGTTTCTGTTACTTGAACTTATCACAAGGAGACTCCAACTCAACCCAAAACTATGTGGAATAGTTTATAGGTGATCTTCATAAAGAGAAGTTGTTTTGTTAAAAAAAACAAGGAAGGCAACAAAGGAAATCCTTTCAGTAAAGGATAGCAGTTCTCCATGTCTGTAACCTTTCCAGGCCATGGGAAGGCATGGAAACATCACAGCACACCTAATGAACCTTGAGGCAAGGCTTTATGGTATTTGTTGCACTACACAAACCTTCCAAAATTCAGTTTTCTGCAGAGTTGGAAGGCTTTTATTCATCTCGAGCTTCAAGTTAACAAAACAACCAACCAACCACGTACAAAGAACATCAGTGACAGGTAAAGGTCACATTTAGGTGAATGATAATCTGTAGCACGAACAAAGAAAAACAAATTTAAACTGACAGTTATATAGGTCTGAAATGATGCTTTTATCCATGTCTTGACCCACACCTTTTAAGCCCTTCACTCATAGCAGCCAGGAGTGTTGGGTTATTTTGAAGTTGTGTGAGTAATTGGGCCCCCATGCAGCAATTACCTCTCACAGCTACTTCCATCGTACATACCTAAGCTATTTTGAAGGGGATTAGAAATGGAAAACTTACATTCTTTTTAGGGTTTGTCTTGCTCTTGAGAAGTCAGTGGAAGAATTTGTGTGAACTGCCACCATGGGGCTTTTTTTCAGGTGTTGAGAAAAAATTACAGGACTTAAAACCCCACTGATTTCCATGAGAGACAGCAGCAGCTGTCCCAGATGACCTAATACTCTTTGTCAGCAAGCTGATTTTGGGGGAGAACTGACTTTTTCAAAACTCTCAGAATATATACTTGCATAACAGGCTGCAGGGAGGGAAGTGCTTAGGCTGTTTGAGAAGGGCTGGGCTTTTCTCTCTGTGAGGGGTGATGAAAAGCCAGCCAGGTATTGCATTGCTGTAGAAAAAGCTGTGCAAAAAGCCCAGGTGTCACTTCCAGCCAAAAGGCCTGACCCCATGGCCACTAAAGCATCTCTGGGCTGCTCGATCCAGCTCCTTCTCCCAGCAGGGATTTTTTCCAAAGCAGCAGCTTCAGCTCTGGGATGGTGGGAGGGAAGGAGAGAGCTCTTCTCTTGGCTTGGCACTGCTCCACTGGTCGATTAATGAGCAGTGATAACTTCTGCAGGCTGGCTTCACTCGAGCTCCTCGGAGGCGAGTGTGGCACCACAGGGGTAATGGGGAGAGGTGCTACATGAGAGGCTTTAGCAGGGACAAAAAGACTTAGACACAGAAATGCTTGTTTTGGAAATTGGATCTGGCTGCACTGCACATTGGTGTTAGAGAGTGGAAACCACTGTGGTGAACATCCCTGGGCTCTGGCCAAAATCTGAGCTGTTAAAGCCCAGCTGCTCTGCAGCATCACTGTAGGGGCTGGGACTCTGTAGAAAAGTGCTTTTGGGGCCTGGGCTTGGGGTCTCCACCCCCTCCCCATCCCAGAACAGGCATTTCAGAAGTCCTTTGTGTGCAGCTTCTCAAAGATATGAGAGTTAAATAAGTAAATATGTTTAGTGCTTTGATCTTGGAATAAATCCGGTAGGAGCTCTTTAATTACCCCAGCAGGATGGTCTGCTTTTTACACAGCGCTTCCTGAGCAGCCTCCTCAGCCTCCCCTCCTCTGCCAGCTCAAAACTCTTCTCCTCTGGTATGAATGAAAGCAGGGGTTAATGATTTCTGTGTCACCACAACCTCCAGCTACAGTAGAACTGAATGTAGATGGTGGAGACAGACACAGGTAAGCCCAGAAGCCCATGGTAAGGTATATTTGAGAGATGCAGAAGGAGGAATTGAAACAGCTTGTGTTTGGAGGCCTAGAGCTGGAACTTTTGCTTAGAGGTGACTTTGGGGCCATGGGATTGCTTAGAGGCTTGTGAAGCAGTCAGCAAGCAAATTAGGTGGGAATGGGCTGAGCTGCTACAAAAATAAGCACTCTAACATATATACTCATGTAAACATTTGGAGATGTCTGTGATGCATTGGCCATTAATATTTATCACTTATTAAATATTTCATTTTGTATAGTTCTTTACTAGAAAGGTGATGGATTGTGTTTCCCACAAGGACCTCTATATAAAGATCTGGCAGATTTCTCAGTCTTCTGAAAAATAATTGTATTTATAACCAGTTTGCAGGAGGTAAAATCCATTATGAAGTGATTAGTCATGTGCAAACTTGTTGTCTCATTTTAGTACAAAGAGGCAGGAGTAAACACCTGCAGGCAGTATTTGTATTGCAAAGGGAGAGTTGTTAGGAACCTGTAGAGAAACTGCCACCTGGATCTTCATTTACCCCCATCATCACACAAAAGTTGAGCTGTTTGCTTCTACCTCCCATGGCTGAGGGATCAGAGCAGTGCTTGATGTCAGCACTGGCCCTTGTGCAGAGGAGACAGAGAAGCTGTGCAGTGTCCCTGTGCTTGTGTCCCCCTGCACCCATGGGGGAATGGTCTCTGCACCCTTGGGAATTAAGGCCTTCGCCTCTGTGCCTCCCTGGGACTTGTGCCACTGTAGTATCTGGAGGGTGAAGCACCCCAAGACAAGATCCAGTAGAGTTTAAACACTGTCAAAAAGCAGTATTGTACAATCCTCCCCATTTTTTTCCCATGAAAATGGCATGTGGAAGCTCCATGCCGCAGTCCCTCTCCTGTTCTGTGGTCACACGTGGCCACCATCTCCACTGTCCCATTACAAACACACAAAATCTTGGCAAATGTTGAAAGCAGTCTCCTCTCCATTGTCAAGCCTTTGACTGTGCAGCAGACCATGAAGACCTCCTTCCTTTTCCAGGAGTTTTTGTTCTTAATCCAGTAAAGCGTTTTCTTAGGTACTTAATAGAAAGCTTAAGGTTAAGCATTTATTTAAGCACTTTGCTAAACTGTGTTTTGCTGAATCCCTGCCAAATGAAAACAGATGGGCTAATTTACCCTGATGTTCTTCCCTGAGCCTTCAGGAGAGCTATAAGAGCAGCAATCTTGATGAAAGGTGGACTCTAAAGCAAGAGAGGGGTAGAGTGAAGT